AAGGGTGGAGTTGCCTTAAGGTCCATAGACACAAGAGAGCTAGCTGGATCCAAAATCTTTAAAAAAAAATGGTAATCATGTAGAATCACCACATGCCCATAGAGCAGGGTTCCCCCACCTCCACAAATTTTAGAAGAATGGACCTTTGGCTGGGGGATTCTGGGAGTTGAAGTCCACCCATCTTAAAGTTGCTGAGGTTGAGGAACCCTGCCATAGAGGAACCTAGATATTTGCCTGGAATGGTATGATAGTAAAGTTGTTGTCCAAAGAGAGTTGCAAGTAGAAACTCTGTGCTACCATCTAGTGGTTGTCTGGAATTTTGCATCCCAGATCTGGTAGCCCTAGTATGAGGCAACCTGCCAGGGTTCTTTCACCACCTAGAAGGTACCCCAGAGCCACCATGCTGCTGGAGTGCCCTGAAAGTGTCTTGTGTGTGCAAGCCCTAGTTTGCTCAGTGATAGCCACTAGCTTTCTAAAGGATGATTAATATTGGGATGAGGATCCCCATCTAAGAGGTTTGACCTGGGGCCCAAATTGCTCTTCTTATGCCCTAAAAATGCCTTATTCCCAATAATACTACAGATTAAAATGAAAAGAGACGGGATGAAGTCAGCGGAATTCAACATACTGGTTTTTTTGTCAGCATTGCTCCCCATAATACATGTTTGTTCTAGAGAACTACAGGTTCTCTCTCACTCACCCTGGCAAATATGCTATGTAAAGTACTTGATTATGTGTATAATTTATCAGTAATAATATAAGAACAAAAAAAAAACCTTCGATCAGAGGAATTTCTGCTGACCACCACTGCCATCATGAAGTTTATGCAGCATGTAAATTTGCAGCATGTAATATTTAATATTAATACATTTCCCCACCCATGTTTTGAAATGCAGCTAGAACAATGGCAAGAAATCAGTTACAAACACATACCTTAATAACACAGTAATTGTCAGAAATCAGACGCACATTCCTATATTAGTAGAATAACCGGTTCTGAGTTATTCATGTTCGAAACTTGGAGCTTTCATATGTTATCAGCACAGCATGAAAATCAGAATGAAAGGGGCAGAAGTTACCTTGTAGATGATTCCCAAGTGATTACTTGTTGTCTTAATCTGTTTTGGGCTTGCAAATACTAGTTTTAACTTTGACATAGCATAGAACTTTTGATTGCCTTGGGTTTCAGGTTCAAATTTCTGAAAAAGTCTGTTGTCTGGAACCATGGAAACCCACTGCCACTCACTGTAGATGACCATAACTTAAATGGCCCTATAGACTGAGTATGCAGTGGGTCCAAGTCAGGTACATATGACCAAGAAGATATAGGGAGTGTAGCCAGAGCTATCTTCCATAACATTCAGTACCGTCTGAGTCTGGTCAGAGAAAATAATATAACTGGGCGGGAAAATGCTCTTCTCTGCCAGAAACAACTTTCAGGACTTTGGAGTGAATAGAACAGTAGCTGTGATTATTAAATATTTTAATTAGAAATTAATTAAAATTATTAAATATTGCTGTAGGCATAAACATAGGCATTTGCTTAGAGTATGAGCTAAAGTCAGTTCTGTGCATTGACTGAATTTAAATCTAGGCTAAAGTGAGGTGCAAGGCAAAAGGATATGTGTGTGCACCTATGGGGCTATACTGCAGTTGTGGGGCATATGCCTTGATTAGTTTCTGCCATTTCCACTAAAAAGGATCCTGAAAAGCAGAATTGTGAAAGACACCTCAGCATGCCATTGCTAATCAAGCAGGACTGGGGTGGGTAACTGATGGCTCTCAGAATAAGGTTGGAAATTCTACACACAAGTCCATGGCCACTTTTGTGTTTCTGCAGGGTGAAGATGTTTGATTACCAAGCCATGTGTAAATTGCTCCATCACCATCCTAATAGTGCTCGTCCTCTTCTCAGTGTAAGTATCTCCATATCATAAACCAGCACCATGAAGTCACAGCCAGGCTTGGAGCACAGGACACAATGATGTGGGCAAGGTCAGAAGAGCTCTTCTTTCTGATGAGACCAGTTGCTTTTGTTCCTCCAGAGCAAAAAGGGGCAGACAAGGAAGCCAAGGCATGTCCATCCGTAGGTGATCTTCCCCTCCTATACTTGGCAGAGCATTCTGAAAGTAAAAGGCTGTACAGGCCACTACATACATCTGAGTGTCCATGATGAAGACTAGCAAAAAGTTCTTTAGAACAGGGTGGGATTTCTACTCTGTAATTATTGTTGGGTTGGTGTGACAAACTGGTCAGTGCCAAAGACAAATATTAAAACCTTTCAGCAGCCAAGTTCAAAAGCCTTCCGTTCTGTGAGAAGGGGTTCCTGATTCCTAATTCTTATGAAATTGCTGGATTTCATGGGGTAACATTAGATTTCCACTGTCATTTTCTGTTCCTGCTCCACTTGCAGTCCATGCACTCTGCCAAAGCAAAAGTAAAAACAATGGACACTTGAAGGAAGCATTATGAATACCACCTTGAGCTCCTGAATGGAAGGGGGGATGTAAATCTCATTCATTCATTCATTCATTCATTCATTCATTCATTCATTCATTCATTCATTTTCTGAGCCCTGCTTTTGCAAAGCAGGTAGTTTCCACACAACCTTACTCTGGCAGCTGGGTGGAGTTAAAAGAGTAAGCAAACTAGATCCAGTGCGATCCAGCGATCCAGGAACAAACCAGGGCTTACCAGGGGAGCGGGGCAGGGCGGTGGGGGGGATCAAAGAGAACAATTTCACATAAATTGGCTGGACATGCCAGCCTTGATTTTGTGATCTCTCCCATGAGTTATTTGTACTGGACAAGTGACAGCACGTATTAATTTAGAGAAGATGGATGTTACAGAGAAAATTAATTCTAGGGTGGGAAAGTGAAGGGTGAACTTTTCATTGTTATGGTTCTTGCATTATCTTTGCTTATGTCTATTGCTTCTTTGGCAAATATACAATATGTGGCTTAAATTACAGTAATCTTACACTGGACCATTCTGGAGCCATATTTGACTAGTGAACTCTTAAACCTGCTAGCTCTGCTCTATACAGAAAATCCAGAAAAATGCTGTTAACACCAAGAAAGTTTCATAATAGATTCCTTTAACTAGTAACAATAGGATTTTCTACTATGGTTAAATTAATTGATTGAACAACAACAACAACAACAAAACTAATTTGTATTATGTTAACAGTGAAAGATCTTTATTAGAATGGTGTTGCCTTTATAAACAGAACCTTTCCTTCCTTCCTTCCTTCCTTCCTTCCTTCCTTCCTGTTCAAACTGATCCAAGTCTCTTAAGATGGTTGACTTTTCATCTTTAAGGCTGAACTGCAAATGTGTGGAAATGCAAGGACTTTTCAACCATGGACAATATCAGTTATATATCCTGAATATGGTAGCGCTGGTTTAGCATCCTTTCTCTTGTCAAAAAGAGGAAGACTTAATCAATTTATTGACAAATTATTTTCTAAACAAAAGTAGCTCAGAAGTATTTACAAGATGACAAAACCAACATTAATATAATGTTAATATAACCCAACATCAGTATATGTCATTATTCCTACTGTGACAACAAATTGTACTTTTACTATCCGAAATACCTTGGGTTTTGTTAAAATGAACAGCAATATTTTCAGTATTGCATGATCCAAAACAGCTGTTTGGGAGGGGTATTGGTTTTTGTTTGCTCGCTTTCGATTTATAGTAATAATCAGTAACACTTTGATAATAAAATTCCTTTCTATTATAAGAACTGTTTTTTTAAAACATTCACCTCCACAAAAAACCTGGGGTTTTTTTCCCTCTTATGTACGTAATCTGTTAGAGCTTTTCCAGTTGAAAAAACTATATTTTCAAAATATTTAATATATTTTTCTTAAATGTCCTGATTTATCATTATTAGAAAAGACAACTGTCTTTGATGCAGTTTCTATAATTCCTGCTGATTCTTAAAGGAAGCCATTTAAGTTATTAAGGAAGATTAAGTTGGAATCGTGCACTATGTAAGATGCTTCTCTTTTTTATTTGAGACTTAATCATTCTTTTTTCAACAGCCAATTTATACATTATTGGCAGCAGCAAAGTGGCTGATAACTGATTTCTTCATGTGAGTATGAATGTTTGGGAATTCTAGAGGAAAATTACATCTGAAGAAATTATGCTTGCAAAATGGAATCAGTATATTAAGCATCGAATGTTTGAGTTCATAGTTGGGAGGTCTTCAGATTAAACATATTCTTATCTTTTTATAGTATTATTGTTCTGGTATTTTATTGTCATGGAAATGAACAAGAAAATATTAAAGCAATTTCAAAATGGCAGACAGTGCTAAGAGAAACACAAGCTATGAAATATACAATTTCCCCCACTGGGTGTTGTCCAGCATGGAGATGCTGCATTACTCTTATGTAAACCAAAAAGTGTCTCTGAGTCATCAGAATTACTCTCCCTTTCTCAAATTTGACCAACCTGCATATTCTAAAAGTGATTTGTGTGAATGGAAGCACAATTGAAAAGAGGCCATTCTGTTCCCAAGCAAGTGCACTAATGCCATATATCTTACCTGCCACTTTATCAATGGGAGAGCAGGAATTGTTAGTAAGAAAGGTTTATTGATGATGAAGACATCTGGGGCAGCATCATTCAATGATGACATAGGTCTCAGATGGGAGTGTTGGATCCAAACACCTCTGAGATGGAACCAGATTCCAAGACATTTGTAGAGATTAATTTGTCAGGCATATTCAACAGCTGTTGCTGTTATCGCATACCAGTGATCCACCATGGTCAAGCAGATGGCTTTCAAGGTGACTGAGAATATTTCCCTCCCAGCTCCTAAGAGCACAGTGTTAATGACAGCCTTGCCGTGGGAATTGCTACTAATTTATATGAGAATCAAGGCACAATTACCCAATCAAAAAGTAAGGAAGAAGGATTTTAAGTGCCTGGATCAGGTAAATTTCAAGCAGCAAATCACAATTACCTGCCTGTTTTATAACACCTCTTCCCTTCTGGGCTGACATAAATTACATCATATTTTTCTTCTTTGACAGATTCCTTTTGGAATTTAACATTTTTAGTTTCTGGCACATGGATAGCTGGGCTGATGGTGAGTATGCAGGATTACAGAAAGTAATAGCAGCCTCAATGTTTAGATGAAAAAGTTACAAGTAATAATGCAATTTAGTACAGCCCGAAAGGATTATCACTAGTTAGTGTTAAGAATATTACCTTGGGATTCCATTCATCTTGTTTTGACCCATAGCATTAATTTGGCATGGTCTACAACTGCAATAAAGTTTGATTGATTGATTGATTGATTGATTGATTGATTGATTGATTGATTGATTGATTTGGCAAGGCTTAATGGCATTGACTACTGTGGCACCTTGGATCATAGTCTGTAGTAGGCTGTCATAAAAGATGGGTGGAAGACTATTGAAAAATGTTAATGAAGCAGTTCATTCATTTCAATTGCCCACCATCTAGATATTTTAGTTGGAACACATGAGAGAATATCAGTAGTAGATACTAAAAAACCTAAATCAGGAGAACACTAACATACAATCTCTGAATTATATTAACTGGAGCAAGTTCTCATGGTTCATAGGTTATTAACATTACAAAAATGGCAACTTTCTTTTTTTAAAGAATACAGTTCTAGTCTTGGTGTCTGTAGATTGTGCATAATGACAAAGTAAATCAGAGGGCTTTTTAAAGAGAGAGAGAGAGAGAGAGAGAGAGAGAGAGAGAGAGAGAGAGAGAGAGAACTTTCTTAAAATAAACCTTGAATTTCCAAAGTGTAATTCATATTAAGTACATTTTTTAAAAAGCAGCAACAACAATTTCAAAAAAGCACTATACCATACCACATTGTATGGCCACAAATATATATATTCCCCCAAATCCTGACTATCAGCAAATTACCCACATAAATTGTGCTTAATACACACACACACACAGAACATATGTGTATTATTTATATATTTATTTTCCCAGAAATAAATAAAATTTGCGCCAATTCAGAGGTTAAACCGTAGAAATAAAAACAGTATAATAGTATCAGTGTTTGTGATAACCATTCATATGCGGCCATGGCAAAAGTGCAGGAAGAATACTCATTTCAACTGTTTTCTAAAAACTAAGCAATGTTGAGGCTGCATGAATCTCCAGGGGAAGAGTTTCCCACAGAACGGGGATTACCAGCATAAAGACCTGTTGTCTGGTCCATAGCCTAGGAATGACTCAAGGAGAGGAGGCCCTCAACAGCCCTTTCTACATGATCAGACTCAGTAGACAGTTTCAATTTTGGCAAGGCATTGCCTGATGTATCCCGGTGCTTCGTGTAGGGCTTTAAAGGCAATAACACATATTTTGAATTGGGCCAGAAGCCTACTTCAAAGTGCTGGTCATCACATTTAAAACCTTTTATAGCACAGCATCAGGATACATCATCAAATAGAATAGTTGTGACCTTATATGGCTTTAATCACCATACCATCATATCATTTTTTCTTTCTTTCTTCATTTTCCATCCCCCCTTCCCCCCTTTCATGTATCTTCACAATACTGTTGTGCCACCATCTTGTGGACATGTCATGATGGACCCATTTTCATCATATCTTATGCCATGTGAACAATACAGCCAAATCCGTTTTTCATCATGGTAAGTAGTGTTGTCATACAAAGAGTCTTGTCTTCTGAAACAGGAGAAGGCCTGCAGAAGATTTAACCAGAAAGTTCACAACATTGCATTTTATGCAAATTCTAGTTATGACTTTCCAGATGGAACGGGAATTTAACTTTCTATTTGATTATCATGCCACAATTCATTGCAAGATAAATATATTTTATAAAATGTTGTCATATTTTCTGGTCCAGCCTGATAGCTGCATAACTATGCATGATATATATAGATGCAGCTAGTGAAAAAATATATATTTTCCTACACATCTTCATAAAATTAATAAATACAGGTAGTCTTTGTTTAATGATCATTTGTTTAGTGACCATTCAAAGTTATGATAACACTAAAAAAGCAGCACCCCATGGTTACATGATCAAGATCTGGGCGCTTGGCAACCAGCTCACACTTACGTCAGTTGCAGTGTCCTTGGTTCGTGTGATTGCCATTTACGACCTTCCCAGCCGGTTTCCAGCAAGGAAAATCAACGGGGAACCTCATGATTTGCTTAATAACCATGTGATTCACTTAATGACTGTGGTGATTCATTTAACAACCACTGCAAAAATGTTGTAAAATCGGGTGCAGTCACATGGTGTTTCACTTAACGACCACCTTGCTTAATGATGAATTTTCCAGTCCCTATTGTGGTCGTTAAATGAGGACTACCTGTATTGCATGGAACAGATGATTACTATCCATACAAATCAAAACAATGGAAGAATAAATGATGAGAAAATTGGAGAGTGAGGATTCTTTTATATATTGCTAAGATGAATCTTACACTGATTCTCCTAAGTCTTCCATCTTAACATTTATCCTTTTTTCAGAATTGAAAAAAATGGAAGCATTTTCTTCATGGCCCAATGTTCTGTCCATTCAGTTTTTCCATTTATTTAAAATATGTCTACGTGTTATATGAATATATGGCACTGCTGTCAGCCCTTCAGGATAGACCAGATCAATAAACAGACTAGAACTAAACTTTATTGAAATAGACCATAATAGCAGAATCTTGCAAGCCTGATTGTGCTTTACCTCCCCTCCCTCATATATCCCAATGAATCAGGAAGGACCCTGCCTGAGTCTTTTCAGAATACTATCTTGTTTCCCAGGACTTAAGGAATGCTTCAGCCCTTTTTCCTTAGTAATGGTTCTTGCCTATTTCCCTCAAGGTCATCTCCCTAATTGTCTACACCTGCCTAGGTAACTTCTGCCTGTAATCGCACCTTTGAATCCTTCATGCCAGTGAATTTGTTCATTGGACAGATGGAATATCAAGTGTTACATCTGAAGTTGGTACTTACCAGAAAATGTCAGATACTATAAGGACTGCAAGTATCTATGGAGGATTTTATTTTATCCCACAATCACAGGATATTCTTTGTTGTTGATGATGATGATGATGATTCCCCTGGAGGTGTTACTCAGAGAGAAAACAATGTCACTGCTACATCTTGCAGGAAAAATGGCCCTTTTAGATGAGCAGAAACTCACATATTTTCGGCATGTGATGCAAGCAGATGATGGAGTAGAAGAGGGAATTTATCTTGGCAAGGTTAAGAGGAATGAAAGAAGGGAAGACAATGGATAAGATCATTCTACAGGGTCCAAAAGATTATTGGAGTCTTTGGGAGAGCTACAAGTTGGTGCCAAGGACAACTTGGTGGGAATTATTTGCTCATTCTATGACCAGGAGTCAAATCCAACTCAGTTGCATCTAATTAACTACCATTGTAACAAGATGCAATGTATGTGAGTTTAGGTATCTCCACAATTGTTTCCTAATCTAGGGATAATTCATTAAAAATGAACAAGAATCTATTGGAGGAAATCTAAACAGTTATTCAGATGCCAGTTGCCAGAGTAACTTCATTAACTTCACTCAGCTTTTCCATACTTTTTAAGTTGAAGGAACAGAAAATATTGCAGGCTGGTTAAAATAGATCTTTTTCTCACCCAGCTCTCTCCATTATATTCATGGAAGTTCTAGCTGATAAATCTTTATCAGGAAGAATGATGTTGCCTTTAATTGATTAATAGGATACCCCTACCTAAGTCTCTGCCTGTTTTGTACAGTTTATCATTATGATGAACTAACCACATGAAGTTAGATAATAAAAAACCTAACGTAAAAGGATTGCAGGATGGTGTGGTATGTCCAAAGTTACCTGGGCTGCTAGAATAAACTAAGCGTTTCCTGACAAATCCACCCCAGTCATTCTCTAGTTGTGATAACTCATTTAGTTGCATTTATCTTGAGGCTACACTGTTCTTTCTGGTCCATGGATCTGGGGCATAGCAAGTTATTTTGTGGAGGAGAGATGCTATAGTAAGAGGGTACAAAGTTTTATGAACTGTAACACCTTTGCAATATTACAAAGTACAGGTAGTCCTCGGTTAACAACTGCCCTGTTTAGCAACCATTCAAACTTACAATGGCACTGAAAAAGTAGTTTTACAACCAGTCCCCAAATGTACAACTGTGGCAATGTCCCCATGATCACATGATCACAATTTGGGCACTCGGCAACCGGCACGCATTTACAACATTCATAGTTTCCCGCAGTCATATGATCACCATTTGCGAGCTTCACAGCTGGCTTCTGATAAGCAAAGTCAATGGAGAAGCCAGCAGTAAGTCGCAAGTCATGGTCATGTGACATTGTGTTTAACAACCACAGGTGATTTGCTTAACAACCACAGTGGAACTGACATAAGTCGGATGCGATCATGTGATGTTTCACTTAATGACTGTGTTGCTTAGCCATGGAGTTGCCAGTCCCAATTGCAGTTGTTAAGTGAGGACTACTTGTATGCAGATGTCCGCTCAAAAACCAGTTGCTTTAGCTAATTTTAAATAGATATACACAGAAGACTACTACTACTGTTGTTCTTTTATTCTCTGCTGTATAGTCTGTGGTTTTATTAATAAATTACTTCATTGCAAATTCTTCTCTGTGTACCACTTTGGGGTTCCTTAGGAAAACATGTAAAATGAGCTGAATATATTTAAAGGGATTTTTGCTCCCTAGGTAGACCTCATATTTAGCACTTGAGATGATTTCTAGTGAAGGGAAAAAATACAAGATTCTTTTCAATGAGTGGAGTCCACACTCTCTGCTTTGAGCCAAGTTTATTGCACCTGCACAAGGGGAGAATACAAATTTCTGCCCACTAATAGGGAGCAAGGCAAAAGCTTATATAGTGATCTTGTTTACACGAGCAAAAGCAGCACCTCTTAGCAACTAAATCCCCCTCCCTGGTTTATTATTTTTATTATAGCCTTGATTCCATTTGTTCAGCAAGCCTTGGCATATGTCAAGGGTCTCCTTCCCTGTTCTAGCAACCCTTCCTTAAGGTTTTACTTCTCTTTTCTACAAGCTGCATTAGCTGACTTTACGTGGTGCTTCTAGGTACTAGGTTCCTGCTTTGTTCTGAGTCCAGTTGGTTAGGCCAAGTATTTCTCTGGTTAAATTTTCTCCTTTTCTACACAATACACCCTTCTCATCTGAATAGGCTAGAATTGACACATCATAACCAAAATATACACAACTTGGCTGCCTCACCATCATTGTTGCCCATGTTTACAAAGCTAGTGATCTAAGATATGCTAAGTTTGGATCCCTGTTTCAATATTGACTCCTGGCAACTGCCTGGACAACTCCATGCAGTTTTCTTGGCAACATTTTTGGAAGTGATTTTGCCATTTCCTTCTTCCCAGGGCTGTGAGGGAGTGACTGGCCCAAGGTCACCCAGCTGGCTTCATGCCTAAAGTGGGAGTAGAACTCGTGGTCTCCTGGTTTCTAGACAGGTGCCTTAACCACTACACTAAACTGGCTCTTGAATTCAGTTGGTAGTCCTTGGCAAACAAATCAAAGCTAGGTGGTGTATGGAAGATGTGGAAGGTTTGCAGGTCTGAACAAATCCTTTCCTTATGGAGAAATAGGCAACCTGATGCTCTCCAGATGTTTTTATCTACCTATCTTATTGTCTCTTGCCATTGGTTATGGTAGCTGAATTTGTCCAAAACATCACCTTGTGTTCCTTGCCTTGCAACATGGAAGACTTATAGGACTAAAGAAGGAAGGAGCTATTTACAATATTTATTGAGCCATCTACCAGAAATGTATTTCTGTTTTAATCCCAATCTGAAGAGGTGACTTCTCTCAAATTAGAAAAATTAAAGCAGGACATCACCTACAGACCTGTGTTTCAGAGAAACAAAAAGAAATAGCATATGCAGAAGAATAAACGGGTGGGTAATGTTTGCACTGAATAGGGCATAAGTCATCTGCAAATCACACAGGCCACGCTGATATTGTATCAGAAAAACAGTAGGTTGCCTTTAACATACACTTCCTGCAACAGAAAACAACACACGAAACCAATCCCATCTTCTTTAGCAGATGGCAGACTGGCTTCAAAACATCTATTTTGTGAATGGTGATTTTTGAGCTGGTATGAAGATTGCAACCCCGCAATTTTTGTTAGAGTCACATATTTTAGATTTGTTTAGAGCCAGTGTGTTGGAACATGGCCTTAGGCTGTGAAGACCCAATAAGTGACATGCATTCCCATTGCAATACATTATTACCTGGCATTATTGTGCAATATTGAACCCCCCCCCCCACCCCCTGGAACAGCAGCCCCCCAGAGGCAAGGATGGCACCCCCTCCCCTGGAGTCCCAGAAAGCCTTGAAAACCTGGCTCTGGTCCCAGGCCGGGGGTTAATATTTGTCATTGTTTAACGGCGCCTGTTTTGTTTTGTGGATTTTCTTAGCAGAGTATTTTAGTCTGGGCTGGTGTTGATTTAATGTTTCTCACTGTTTTTATGTTTTTTAGTTTTGTACACCAGAGTCCACTGGAGCTGAGTGGCCAGTAAATTTAAATAAATAATAATAATAATAATATTTCTGCTGTTTTGAGGGGTCATTAGCGACAGGGGTAAATGCTAGCAGCATTTTCCTGCAGCAGGCTGCTGTGATGCAGCCATCAAGCAATCTTATTTGTGTAGAGATCATTTGCAGATAGTAGTTCTGCAGTTGCTATTCTTAAATGAACCTTGTGCTTCAGTTGAGACTGACCCATCCCCTGTTGGATCAGTGATTTTTCCCTCCTGGCAGCCAAGTCATGTGTTAACTGGACCATCTCCTTATCTGATCAACTTACATTCCCCTTCAAGACATCCCACTGACATCAGTTGGTTGAGATGCCACACAGCTAAGGGATTATTGTCTTCTGCTGGGTTCGATTTGTCTGTAATAAAACATTGCACTGGGGTTGAAGGAAATTCCTTTTCAAAACAAAAAGAAAAATTGCTTATCCTTCTCTCCCCAATACAAACTTGGGGAGTTTTCATTACAAATGGGCAAATTTCTAAAAAGGTTTGCATATGCTGTGTATTAAATCAAATGTTACATTTCTTGTAATCCTAGAAGTAGAGGTTCTTTTGGGGTTGCTTTAAGTTTATTAGTGAAATTGGTTTTAGTAGGAATGCAGACAATGACTTGGCATTATAGATTTATTGATTTTCCTTGGTATTGTGGCTGTTTGAATTACGGCAAGAGTTCTCGTTGTCATGCTGGTCCCAGAGAATCTATAGCAGAGAATAAGCTTAACTCTTACATGAGTCATCTGGCATTTCTCTCTTGCAATTTCCATTGTATTAAATCTTCCATTTCTCCAGCTTTCCTTTATTTCAGTAAGGTTTATGCCAAAGAATGGCCTGATGCATTGAGCCTTGCATGATTTATTGCACCAATTTGCTTGTTTAAATCTGTTTGAGTCATTTTTAGAGATGCATTTAACAGACAAATATGGAGAATTATAAAGATCTTTCCCTATCCCTTTCCTTGTCCTCCTCTTCCTCCTCCTTTTCAACAAAGTTTGATAGTGGCTCCCAGAATTTCTAGCTGGTCTGGCCAATTGCCACAGGTGAGAGCAGTCTCTCTGAAGATTTTGGCACATGATTCAGTTGTAGCTATACCTGGAGTGAAGGGAGATTAAGATCACGAGTTCAGGACATCCTCAAACATTGGCTCATCTGCGCCATCTAGTGGCCATTGGTGGCCAGTGCATTTTGTTTTTCCTCCACACTTTGCACTTCTTCTTGTGCCTGATTTTCTCACTCTGACTCTTTTATTTTTCCCATTTTAGCTCACAGACATAAGAAGCAAGACACGCTGCAACCCTGTGACACGGAATATCCTGTGTTTGTGTATGAGCCTGCCATCAGAGAGGCCAATGGGCTAGTTGAATGTGGAGACTGTCAGAAGTAAGAGAATGGGCTTTATCTGTGCTTCCTAAGTGCAACAATGAATTTTGCCCCCTTTCCCCCCACTCACCCATCCATACACATTGCTTGTTATTGCCAGTGCTAAAAGAGCAAAATAGTAAATCCTGGTTAAGATCCAGACTGTTGCCTTCTACGTGCAGCTGGGTTGGCACTTAAGGTCAGCTATAGAAGTCACCACCTTGTCCTACCCACATTAGATGGATAGTACCTGGAGACAGTCCTTCTTCCTGGTGCTGACACTGTACAGGGAAGTGGGAATGACCTTGAAGGACAGGAGGAAGAGCTGCTACCAAGGCCTTATGGAACATTCTCCCTCCAGAGATCAGGATGGCCCCAACCCGGCTGGCTTTTCGTAAGTCCTTAATGACCTGGCTCTGTGCCCGGGCCTGGGGCCCTGAGTGTGTGCAGGGACCCGTTTCATGGTTAATTTAGTCATTATGATGAGTGCTTTATTCTTGGCTGCTATCTATTTTAATGTTTGTATTATTTTAATTGTTTTGATATTTTAAATTTTGTTCGCCACCTAGAGTCACTTGATGAGTTGGGGGGGGCATACAAATTAAATAAATAAATAAAGGCAATGGTCAGATAAGTGGGGCTTGAGCCTAGGCCAAAAACGTAACTTGAGAAAATGTCTCAGAGAAGCCCCTCCCTAGTTCACATAGAGATAAAGAGAAGGAGGGGGAAGCACATTCAGACTTTCAAGTTTCTGTTACTATCGTCATTCCAATAAAAGTGGTCCTGACCTATATGGCATTGGCTTCATAGTCTGGTCTACTTTGTAGGGCTGACACATTGGAACTCTTTCTTTTTAGAACCAGGTGAGACATTTTTCAGGTCCCTGGAGGTTGTTACTGGTAAAAATCTCAATAAGTCTATTCTTGTACAACAAACACAATCATTCCAATCCTCATAAGAAAAGCTGTAACTAACTAAAAAAACATAGTAACTGCCCAATGAGTTAGAGCCAGGCAGTTACTATATTTTGTGAGATTTTCTCACTGATAGTGTAATTACAGGTAGTCCTCACTTAACAATGCTAATTGGGACCAGAAACTCCATTGTTAAACAATGCAGTCCTAAGTCGAAAAACTATGTGACTGCACTGCTTAGCGATGCCATCACTAAGCAAGGACCTCAGGGGTTGTTAAGTGAGGACCTCATGTGACCACAACTTGTGACTTCCTGCCGGTTTCCCTATTGACTTTGCTTGTCGGAAACCAGCAGGGAATGTTACAAATTGCAATCACGTGACCACAGGGGCACTGTGATGGCTGTAAGTACAAGGACCAGTTGTAACTACATAATTCAGCACCGTCGTAAGTTCGAACAGTTGCTGAACTAGTGGTCATTAAACAAGGACCATCTGTATAGGCAAACAAATTAAAAAATGTGCATTATGAAATCACCACGCGCACCCTGGCTTTTTGTACTTGTGTCCCACCATCAGATGCCAATATGCATGTTATGAAGTTTGAGCTTTCATCCTCCCCACTATGCCAGACACTTATGTTTTTCAAAGATATTTGGAAAAGTCTTGTCCAATATCTAAACAATAAACTAAATTTGGATACTTAGAAAATGAACAAAAGTAGTTCTTCCAAGTAAAACACTGTTGACGTAGCTATCCACCATCTTCATTTTTCAAGAATATCTTGGGAGACTGTGTGCTTTCCTGTGAAGCATGCCATCTTCCCACTTAAATTTGTTTTAAGAAAAAAATATTTTTATAATCTGAAAAATATTTGAAAGTGAGTAGCTGATTAGATAGATGATGCTGTTATGAAAGGTTAGGGGGCCACTAGAATTACCAAAATGAAGAACTACTGGCACGTTTCTTGGAAATACTTGGAAGAACATATCTGGAGAACTTTCACAAGCTAGATCAAGAGTGCTTTGAACCAACAACTTCTGTTCCTGGGGGAGAAAAGTGAAGAGCAACATATTAGGGACAAAAACATGTGAGAAATGATGAATCAAGGTGATGGAGAAGATCCCTGGTAAATTGTGGTATCTATTTTAGCAAAAACAAAAGCATGAACCCAGTATGGTGCAGCTGCCAAAAAAGCTAACACATAGGCTCACATACAGACACACAAACAGAAATGCCTAGTGGTAAGAGCTGCTTAATAGTGGAAGTGACTGCCTTGGCACTGTAGTTGTTGGGGTCCTTTTCACTGGAGTGTTGAAGAAGCGGCTTGATGACTATCTGTCAGGCTTCTGGAGTTGCATCCTACGCTGCAGACTGGCATTCTATCAAAGAACCTCTATGATCCTTGCAGCTCATGATCTTTGATGGCACTGAGGTATGGAAGGGAACGTTTGAGACATGGTAGCCCTGAGTTTATGTATTTATTGTCTCTGGCGCTAGACAATGTTTTTGTATACTAGTGTTAGAAAATGCAGTTAATTCACACCATTACCAGCTCAAAACAGTTTGCAGGATGGTCTTCAAAAAAACCTGGCTAGATGAAAATTTAAATGAAACTTCCACCAATATGCTGATCCAAGAACAGAACATTTGGTGTTAATTAATATTAAGATGGAAGTCTCCCTTTCACTAGACTTTGGCACATGATTCAATTGTACCTATAAAGTACCAGTAGAGGGCAGCAGAGCACTGTAGCTCCCTGGAGGTGACTTACAAATTCCTCTTAACCTTGTCAATCAAACTACTATGCCACATTACTGTTACATGAGAAAGTAATTTATAGTAAACAAATAAAGGTGGTTAGATGTAATAAGGCATTTAGGTACCCTAGGTAGAAGAAGCAGCAATAATCCTTGCAGTAAACATTCTTCTTCAAAGACCAGAAAACAGAGCTTCGGGATCCAATTATTGCAGCCCCTTTGCTTCACTTCCCTGGCCTTGAGCCACACAGGGGTCCAAGGCGTTTTATAGAAGACAGGAAGCAGATGTTCTACCTCGTAGTTGACTAGTTAGGCAGCCAGTCAGCTACCATATCTTAAAAACAAAATGAAGCTAAAATATCCCTGACTTACACTTTAAGGTGATGTTGGGGAGGTAGTTTTGCTTTTCAATGGCCCTGTTTCCACAACACACAACTGGATCAATGGGAGGACAACGTGTTACGGGAAAACCAAAAATGAGGCCAATTGACCCAAGAAGAGGCAGTCGAAATCTGCAAGATGGTGGGAATAGCAACAAGATCTGAGACCCACCCCTTATGTATGTTGGTGGGACATCCACGCACGTACAAAAGGGGCTGGGCTCGGATTGCAATGCCACAGTCACCATCTTGAAGATTTTGACACCCCCCCCAGATGCCCCTGCCCTTATCAACTAATTCTGAGAGAACTGGATCTAGTCCAAACTTTTGTTGTTGTTGTTGTTCAGTCGTTAAGTCATGTCCGACTCTTTGTGACCCCATGAACTATATCACGCCAGGCCTTCCTGTCCTTCACTGCCTCCAGAGTTTGCTCAATTTCATGTTCATTGCTTCAGTGATGCTATCTAACCATCTCATCCTCTGCCATCCCTTTCTCCTTTTGCCTTCCATCGTTCCCAGCATCAGGGTCTTCTCCAAGGAGTCCTCTCTTCACGTTAGGTGGCCAAAGTATCTGAGCTTCAGCTTCAG